AGCGGTGCGCGACTCCTCGTTTCTTTTTTGCTTTCTTGCGCCCTGCCACGCAAGCTACTGTTAGGAAATGTAAAACTCTGTCTGTTGGGTATTGCAGAAAGTGAAGGATACACCAACGTGGTAACTGGATGTGTGAATCTGGCCGTTCTAATGCCCGTTTTGGTAGTCATGATGGTTTCACTTCTTTTAAACGTTCATTTTTTAATCCAGTGGAGACGAAGACAGCGATTTTTGCTCTCCGAAGAAGAGATCTATCAGCTACATTTAGCGCGCGAAGCTACTGCAGTTAATCACGAGGGCCTGGAGGAAGAAAATGTTGAAGTAAAGAAAAAGAAATTTTTCGGCGGACGATTTAAAAAGTGCAAGAAAGAAGGAGACAAAAGAGAGAAGGATCATGAAAATATACAGGACAGCAGTAACCTGGATAAAGAAAATGGAGAAGCAATTGAAATGCAAGAAAGCAAGGATTTCTTGAACACGCAGGACGGCTCGCGCGGTCTTAATATCCCACGAGAACAGGACAGCTCGTGGGAAAAGAAGAGGCCGTGGGAGCATGATGATGATGATGTCACGCGCGCTGATGACAATCAAGAGATTCTACGCTTAGACGACATTTTACGAGTGCAAGAGACAAGCACTCCCTTGCAAGACAGCATGAACGAATGGGAAAGCCCTCGCTCAATTGACAGTGCGGGCACGAAAGGAATACCACGCTTGGAAGATATTCTTCGCGAGCAGGACAGCAGCCTACCGACGCAAGACCACTCGCACGAGTTAGATAGCCCTCGCACACAAGAGAGTCCACGCACAAAGGAAATTCCTCGTTTGGAAGAAATTTTTAGTGCATCAGAAGGGGAAGCTAAAGAAAATGTACACGATGAAATAAGACCCGATGTCTCTGGTGCACACCGCGAGTCAGGTAGTTTGCAGGCTCCTAGAATAGCAGAATTCTTCTTACCTAGTGATGAAAGCGATGCGGAGCGTCAAAGCGTGACGTCAGAAGAGCCTTTGGTGAGTCATTATATGGAGAAAATGGATTTTGAGAAGGAAAATGAAGATGAACATGGCGAAGAACCTCTTGTAAGTCATTACATGGAGAAAATGGATTTTGAAAAGGGAAACGAGGATAATGTTCAAGACCAAGAACCACTTGTGAGTTATTATAAGGAGAAGATGGATTTTGAAGAATCGAAAAATGATGAGGAACCGGTCTTAAAATGAAGTGGAAATTGTAAGTCTGGCCGGCTTTACTCCCGGTATTCACTCGAGAATGCGTGTGTTCACCATGCTTTACATTTGTCTTTCAACCTTGCACTCTTCAAATAATCGCTGTTCTTGAACAGTCCTGCGTATTTTCTTGAAAGGGCTGTGTCACGGTTTTCTTGTCAGTCATTTTATTAATATTGACAATTACGCCTCCTTATCAGTGCGCTATAGACCTCAAAGTCAACGAAGAATTTACTTTTAAACCAGAAAATCAAAGCTTATTGTCCTACAAATACACTTCCAAAGCATTATATCAAACGTCACAAACAACTGGCCAAAATAAACTTTGATAAACTGTTAGGCTAACAAGTTTTATAAAACTCACAATTTCAATCCGTTTCAACTTCTTCCTTTATTTATACCGTCTTTTAACTTGATTCATTTGTTGTTTCGCTCAATTTGGTAGCAGTTCCTATCGTTAGAATTTTGATAAAATTCGTGACACAGCTCTTTTAAGTGTGCCTAGGTCACTCAAATGGTAGTGAATTGGTGAAAGAAACGCTTCAAAACAGGGATATTCCCTGTGAGACTGCCGGTCGCCTTGTTACTAACGTTCCTGTTAAACCAGTAGGATGTATTGACAAATGTAAAGTGGAGAGCATCCTTTGTCGACTGAATATGGAAAACCCATGTATTAATGAATTTTCTAACAGAAAGCAAGAATTAATTATGATTTCCGAAAAGATTACAGCTCCTATTGGTTAAAACTTCAAGCGCTGCTTTAGCATTGGTTTATATTATAAAATTCGCTATCTTTATTACCCAGAGACTAAGCTTAGATTCAAATTAGTTTTTTAATCGTTTATAAAGAACACACTAGTTTTTCCAGGATATTTTTTGTACTAGGTGTATTTCATGCCAACATTAAGGATCTTATGAAACACCGTTTCTGCTTACGGCTATGCCGGGTAGACGAACATGCTTGCTATGTAGTTCTATAAAAGGCAGCCGTGATTTCCTACACTGTCCTACCCATCTCTCTGGGGAAAGGGGCAATCTAGCCGTATTGACGGCAACGTGTAGCCGAATGGTCATTGGAAATTGTAAAATCGACGCTGTTCAAGAATCCTAACCAACAGCGTCGATTTTACAATTTCCGATTAAAATTAAGTAACTACGCTGCGCAGAGATTTTAATCTTTATTACACAACGTGTAGCCGTACATCCGGAGGGGGGGTACTCCCTCATATGAGCCATATATGTATGTGCCGACCCATCGGGTAGGGTTTTTGCGCCATTTCCGTCTGAAAACGGGTATACACTTTGCCTATTTTGGTCTGGAATAGGGTATAGATTTTGAGCGAGCTACTGGAGGTAGTCTTTGTCGTTTCAATTCCAAATGAATAAGAAAGAAAGAGTAATATGCAAATTCGAAATGAATATTAAGAAATTTTTTTGCTCGCGTTCTAATCTAGGTAATGAAAACACGATTTCTTAGAGACCAGGTCTGAAATCGGGCATGGATTTTAGAGGCTAGGTCTGAAAAATGGAGTGGAAAATCACATTTTTTGGTCTGAAATAGGGTCAGAATTTGAAGAACCGGGCGGTACAGCCCCACCAAGAATTCCTAGGAGTACCCCCCCCCGTCCCTGGGCCGTACACGAAAACAGTGTTTCTTGAGGTCTCCATTGTAAAGAGATTTTTATTAAAAGTATAGAACACAAATATACTGACATACAGGTGATATAGAACTGCTATGAAGTTTCTTACCATTATTCATAATGCATACGTTTAATTATCCCTGAGCTGAGGGCATTTTGCAATAAAGATAATTTATATAATAACATGTTTTTATTTCAGCGGCTCATTCATTCTCTTGTTTACCCTCTCAAAATCAAAACGCATATTCACCACTTCGTGCCCGACTATTTTCTTTAGTTTTGGTTTTGAGGCCTTGATATTTGACAAATCAGTGTTGATGTTGATGTAGGGAGAAATTGTATGTCTGTCAGTAGGGCTGAAAGGGTTTATTTATACGCTGTGTGTATTTCTCCCCATGGGTGACAGAAACACCATGGCTCGTGTTCAGGCCCTGGCCGTTCAGACCATCCGGGTGTTCTAGGGTTGATTTCTGTCGAAATATAAAACATCAGCAAGTCCACAGCGACAAACCGTAGAGTTGTGCCGGATCTCCCAGTTGTATACCTGGATTTGTACAATAATAACTTGCAGAAAATATAAAACGGCAGAGTGATCCTTAAGGCAAGGCGATGAAGAAGTAATCGAAAGAATAAACAAAAACTATATATTGAAACAAATTTGCCCAATATTTCGGTTTGAAAACAAGCCTTCTGCAGGGGCTAAAACTGGGCAGACTCCGGTGTTTTGGGCCTTGAAGGTTGAATGATTTTCTCTTGTTTTTAACCTCTTGTAAGCGACCACTAGACGCATTCTCCTCAATGTTCGCTGTGTGCACTGTGCTACTTAGAATATACGAAGAATGTTCGTAACAATATGGAAATACACATGGCGTAACTTAGAAACTGTATGCAATAAATTATCTTCCATAAAGTAGATGTTCCCGGACCTCTTCTTGGAAGAGGCCGACTGTGGTTCGATTCTTGTAAGCGACCATCTCCCGTAAGCGACCACTTAGTCTCTGCATTTTGAGTGGTCGCTTACGTGAGGTTCGACTGTACGCAGAGGTCAATGATGTGAGGTGCGTGCGCAGGTCCTACCCAAATTTGTGCAATCTCGTCCCCAATGCCTTCAATACCCTTGTCCAGTGGATCTATGGTGCTGACCGAAAGGATCGCAGCCTCTGGGAGGATAATGAAAATTTATAAGACTTGTAAACTAGAAATCACTGAAATCTTTCCGCAAGCAGTCTGAAAAAATTCCCCAAACAATGTTATGAAGCATATTTTATAATGGTCACAGAAAATGCGCTAAAAATTGCCCAATGCATATTTCATTTGACTGCTCTTGTCATTCCAAGGGAATAAAATTAATAGAAGTGCGTTTTTGGCAATCATGATGCATGTCTTAAGGCAGGCGATCGTGGCACGTGCCCAACAGGTGATCCTGGTGCATGACCACGTGATACGCGCCCAATGGAAGGTGATCCTGTTATACTCTCATAGGTATTGGATCGTGACACGTGATTCGAGATAGGTGTTCCTGGCGCCTGCAGGCCATCACCAGATAACCCGATCACGTGCCCATTAGCGTGCATTTCGATAGTTTCTCCAATCACAACATTGCTTCCATCGCTGTGTGGACTGATATTTCCATTTTTTTTTTTCGTCATTTTCAATTCCCTGTCACGCTTTCGTTTGCCTTGAATAACTAAGTGAATGAACAGGAGAAGCGCCAAGACAGCTACGGCAAGAACAGGCATCAAAACTGAAATGTTCACGCATCCTGTCGTAGATTCACTCGAAGCACCTCCATCCTCTTTCTCTGAAACTTCAAGAAGAGAGTAAACGTTGTGTGATAGGAAAATGAATAACTTGTACCTCAGTGGTTAGTCTTGGGGCCGATATTTTGAATTCACTGACCCGAACGAAAGTTGAGTCAAGCAAACAGTATATTGGCATTGGGGGTTGGGGGTGGGAGAGTGCTCTAAAATATACGCAAGACAAGATAGATGAGTGGTCTGGAATACGATGTAGAAATCAGAATGAATTTGGTATAGCAACTAAGAAATCATTTGCTATAAAAGTGATCTGGGGGATGAAAATTTTAAACTAGAATGACTGGGAGCCTTATACAACTTAAATGCCCAACTCACTCCATGGGCGTCTTCGACTCGGCTAAACCTGGACCCTACATTTGGTGCCTCGCTTTCAAATTCGCCTTATCAGCCTTCCATGTCGGACGCACTCCATATTTGTCATTACTACAAAGAAAATAACTAGTGGAACTACACTCACCAGATTCATTGAGACCTTTAGATAGTTTGATTCTGCAAAGAATACTTGACATGCCATTTGTGATATTGCACATGTACGTACCAAAGTCCGAATCACTTTTTGGCGTTACCACAATGACTTCACCAAATGCTCTCAATCGTGATGATTCCGTGATGATTTGATTATCTTTTGTCCAGGTAAAGGATAGAGGTGACGTGTTACCAGTTTGTGTTGAGTAGCAGCCGAGGTTTGCCGGCTGATCAAGAAAAGTGATGATTTCCTGCCGCGTTAGATTCAGGTCAAGTTCTAGTGCCTCTGAAACCCATGGAAACAAATCAGTATTAAAAGAGCATGTAAGCAGTAAAACTCGCCATACTACTGTACATCCTGGTGATCTCCCGTCCCGGGATTAAACGAAAATCATACCGTACTTTGTCAGTTAAACACCCGAGTCCACCCGAGCTCACCCGAGTCCGAGTAAACACTGGGTCTTAAAGAGCCACGGAAAATTGTAAAGAAGCTCGTCATAAGAGTATGAGAGCAAGATACACGGCTGTTTATGACGTGTAAATATACAGGTGGAGTGGAGAAAACACTGGCATCTTTACAGGTCAGTTTCATTATATGGCATCGAATACTGCTAATCATGATTGCTATGGTTCTTTGTGACCCTTTAGATATAAATAAACCAAACGTACTTCGATGGCGCTTCATGGTATGTGTTTGTTATTTTTTTCTTGTCATCTGATCATCTAGGACTTTGTTCGGATTAAAGCCCACCAAACCCCATCCCCCGGCGGGCGTGGGTGGAGCCGGTTTCCATTTCAAAAGGACTGTGATGCTAGTGGGAAAGTAACCAGGCCAATCTGGGCGTGGTTCAGACTTAATCATGAAACCCGAAAAGAGATCATGTAGAACAGACAAGCGAAAAAGTACCATTGTGATTTTAATTGCGCTTTAAAAGATGCTCGGACTTCGACACAGTTTTTTATTGAGGTTTTCTTTCAGCACAACGCTAAGCCAGCCTTTTGGATGAAAATATTGGCTTTCCGTCCTGACAACCTAAGTGAGACAAAAATCTGCTATTTTTACCCCTAAATGAGACAAACGGAACTAGAAGCTATAATAAAGTCTGCAGTCATCATGGGTGTGTAATATATTTAACGGTACACTGTAGACCGTTTGACCTTCTTTCTAGTAAAGTCTCGAAAGTACGCAAGTACAATTGCAATTAAATTTATTGAATTTAAAACGCAGTGGTCCAATTTTTTTATATATTAACCTTAATAGCAGAGCTGGAAAAGTAATGATATGGATTTTTGTAGCATGAGGCTAAATTAAAAAAAGAAAAATAAGCGCTTGATATGTTCAGAATTCATTGAAAGTTCTGACTCCTGCTTGTGTTTTGTCCTATGCCAATGAATGAAATTTTTGAAGCTAGTTTAAAAGAAAACTCCTTTTAGTAACTTTGGCATTTGCTCGAAAAAACTGTTACACCGCGGTAAAGCACTGCTCGGAAGCTTTGTTGATAATGAATGGTCACACAATAGGATTTCACCCGCAGACTCAAAAATTAAAACCATCTTGTACAGTGTAATAAACATTGCTGCAGGAAAACTGTTCAGTAACTCAGTTTCACATGAAATACATTTTTAGGTAAAATTTCTTCCTAAGTCTGAATTTATAATGTTAGTGAATATCGAAAAACTCCGCAAACAGTAAATGCCTTGTCAATACTGATTATATAGAGCATATTGACTATAAGCATTTAAGACGTGTGAAAACTGAATCAACAACAATATTGTTTCTGTAGACTATTTGGATCGTGGAAAAGGCTAATTTCGTCGTATTCAAAACGTCTTAGAATCTTGAGTAAAGATCGTCCCGAGTAATGTATTTGAAAGAGCCTTGTTCGTGTAGACAATGAAGTCTTTTTTGACTATACAGCATCAACACAATATACAATCTCACGCCAGTTCGTTCAGCACTGAACTAACAAATGTTTTTTTAAATTGGAGAATGGAGAAACAAAGATTACCTAATATTGAACAATAAAATAAGCCATGCAGTAGAAGCACAAGAATGCAAGTGAGTTATAAAAATTAAGTGTAATAAAAAGAGTATTAAAAAAGAGGAAACTAGTACAAAAAGCCGCTCCTTTTACGTTTTTCTTAATCTGCTTCGTGAAGTGACAGATAGCATAAGAATATTGCGGCTTTTTTCAGCAAAGTTAATGAGGGTCGAGGCGACCCTGACTCGACTGCTGAGTCAAGTGTTGGCGAGACGAAACTTTTAAACTAGTTACTATACTTTGCAAATTAGTTTACAATAAAATTACTCTCAAAAATGACATGTATTCTAAGTCACCTCGTTGAATATTGAATGAAAAAGACAAACGGACAAGTGAGGACAGCAATGGTTCATCGTAGGAGCGACTGGCTTATTTCACTTTATTCTGTTAAACGCGCATAACACTACTGTTAATACTGGACAGTCTCTACTTTGCATAATTTGAATTACATAGCTCCTTAGAATGCAGCGGTTTTCTCTCACATAATAACACAAAATTAAGTACAGCCTTTTTTCCGATTGGAAAATAACCGGCCTCTTCGAATTATTCAGACGCAATGGTGTGGGCAATTTATTCTTAGCTAGCAGGACACGTCACAAAGGCAGCAAGTATACCTAATCAAAATCAACTTAGTCTTTGAGACTCGAAATAATTTCTTATTTCAATAGTTAAGAGGTAACTAGTTAAAACTACCACCAGTTAAATGAAGTTTATTTGGTCCGGAGAAACAAAGTGTTTTATTACGGAACTTAATCTAAACTGGGAGCCGTGCAGCACAAGCGAGTTTAATCCTACATTCACGTTCTACTAAGACATAGTTAGGGGTCTAAGAGGAATAATATAATCACTTACCTTTTCTCATGACGAAGTTTGCAACAAGAAAAATAACTTTCAGCCAAAGAACAGAGCTAAAACATTTCGCCATGATGCCAGTTTGCCGGATTATCTTTCCAAATGTTTGAAAATACTGAAAAACAATTTGTAAACTCAGGACAGGTCAAGTATTCAGGCAATATTTCTTGCGCAGCCAGCTTGCTAAATCACCGCTCTTAATGCCAGCCACAAGGCACAATCTTACTTCTTAGCTGAGGTTCCAAATAGTTAATGGTTATATATAACATACAACTTACGTAGATTGATATTTGACGTAGTTGTAGAAATATATTAACTTAAGGCTGCCAAAGTCTTTGCTATCGAGTCTGATCAGCATAAACAACATCTATGAAAATTGATTGCTCATTAACTTTCATATAAATTTATTCTTTGAAGGATTTGACGGTTCAGAAGTAGGGATAAAAAACCGTTCCTTGAATTACTACTCAGTAGATGGCTTCCATTCATTGGAAACACTGATATTTCTTCCACGGACTCAAGAGTTTTACATCATATGACTCAATAATATTTCATTCTACTGGGGAACAAAAAATTCAAAAAGGCATGCTAACACTGTTATATTTTAGCTTTTTGGAACTTTTTGCAAACTGTGAGAAAAAAAAAATTAAAATCAGTTTTCGACAGCCGCAAATTATGTCCCTTACGAAGGTTTTTTTCACAATAATTAGGGGTCTTGGTATTAAAGCCAACAAAAACCCTTCTCTTTAAAACCGAGGTAACAAAGCTTCAAAAAATGTCAATTTTCTATTGCTATAATGTAAGACTAGAGCAAACTAAGTTTTTAAACAAATTGTTTCATCCCCTCAAGAAACGGCACGTAAGAAAAGCGTGCATCATAGTACATGTGAAACTCGTTGTAAAGTACACCAATATTAGAGAAAACATTAGCTCAATACTACCTCTTATTTTGGGTATTTGATTACCTTCTGTTCTAAAGTGATTTTCAATTTACTGTCAAGAGTGATTTCGCAGCCGCTTCAGCTCGCATAGCTCCACAATTCTGGCGCCACTGTCTCAACCAATCAAGATCCATCATGATTTTCGTGCACAGGATTTCCCGCGCTTGGTGACCGACTATATGCATTTCCTCTGAATTCTGATTGGCTCAAGCAATAGTCTTTTCCTGTTATGATTGGCTACATGTGTTGTATAAGACCGAAAACCGCTTAATTAATGATGAGTGTCAACTTTAATCACTTTGTTATTTAACTAATTCACAGAATATATATATGACGAAATTTCATTTCGTTACATGGAGTTTTCAAAATGTGGTGCAAAGTAGTCTTAGTTTCCCAAATCGCATGAAATGACGGTTATCTGCTGGATAAAGGACCGTCATGTCTGGTAAGTGATTTGAAGCTATTTACTTTTCTAAGTAATTATTTATCACTTTTTAGCTTTTGATTGAGAAAATCAGAAAAGGTACAGGGTGAATTATTCAGACAATTTGTGTTTAACTGGCGACAAACTCGCGGTTCCTATCTTAAACCTGAATGGTTAACCAACTAGTTTTCAAAAACAAACTCAAAAGTTAGACCCACATTGAATAGCATAACAAACAGTACCATAAAAAATTACTGCTCAGTAGCTTTTACTTAAATAGCGGGCTCCTTGGATTTTATTCACGGACTCAAAGGTTAAAACCACCTTGTATGGCATGATAACCAGTACCACAGGAAAGTACTCGTGCTCGGTATCTTTTATTTGAATGGTGACACAAAGGGATTTCATGGAAACTCATAAAGACTCAAACAATCCGGCCAATTTACAATCTAAAACAATGTTATAAACAACATAGTTAGATGATCATACACTTAAGGATTTAATCAACAAACTCAGAAGTTACAACCAATTTGTAACTTAGTTACAATGTTTATAGGGTAGGAAAGCGAATTTTTTATGGAGGGTGACACAGTGTTACTGATAAACTTGTGACCTTTGCGTTAATCAGCTATTTACAATTGGACTAACATGTAAAAATAAATAATTAGATAGATAACATTCAATTACTACATATTACTGACAGTCTATACTAGTCTATACTAGAAAACCTTATATCTATAATGACAATGTACTTTGTTCCTAAACTGCCGGTGCTTTGTTTACAATTTTAAAAATTCTAGCAGCTCATGATTCCACTCTTTCACAGTTCTGACACTAAGGGTCGATTATTCAAAGACTCTGAACGAAGCCTAATTTAGAAAAGTAGGTTTAAGAGGCTCACTGGTATTAGATCGTTTCGCCCGAAGGTCGGTTTGCCCGATAGCAGTTCGCCCAGACAAATTCTTATCGTCCGAAGCGTATTTGTCATTCTTTAAGCCTGAAAAAAGGGAATGAGCATGGAAAGACAGTGACTGCACATGTGAAATCCAAGGGTAACTATATCTCGGAAGGTATGTTCACCATGTTGTAGAGAGTTGCATGTCATTGGGCGAATCGACTAATCGGTCCTAGCGAACGCCGTCGGGCGAAACGACCGCAATTCGGCTCAGTAGGCAGTAAGATCTGTAGGTAAGGAAGGTGTTCTAGTCTTGTTTGCAAACCTTCTTGACGTCTTTAAGAGCAAACATTGTTTGGATGGGTAGGTTAGACAAATTAAAAAAGAGTTTAGAACGAAGGTTTTGTTAAACAGTGACTAAACTCTGTTCTAATAACAGTGTATAAATGTTTCGTCAATTACGGAACGATTGTTAAAATATCAGAAGTGTTAAGATGACGTCACATGTCAACCTGTTTACGTCACTTGACACCTTTATAACCATTGTCTGATTTAAAAACAAGAGGTTATTTGTTGAGGAACAATACTTGATTTATTTTAACTTATGAGAGCTTTGTGAGTCCGGGAAGTCTTATTTTAACAGGTGAAAATATCGTTAAAACTAGTCACGCTTGCTTTGCAATCAGTTTGATTTATTCAGACTTTAAGACCTTAAGTGACGTCTAGTGTGAATGGTGGAAAAGTGCGAATCTCGTTTTAAAAGATGAACCAGCAAAGTTCATCAGTATACAGGGTTCTATCTAGGATTTATCATTTGGGGGAGAAGTCCTGAGTGGCCGAAGGCGACAAGCCTCCTAGAGGGGTCCGCCGCCCCCCCCCCCCCCTCACCCGAATCAAATCTGGTGCATTTTGAGACACAATTTTGGGAAATGTTATAGTGTGTGCACTAACCTCGTCGCGTCTTGATGATTCTTTCGATATAGTTACTTATATACTGTAATGATAACAATATTTTTTTGGGGGGGGAGCTGGGCATTTTGGGGGAGAAGCTTCTACCCCTCAAATACCCTAGATAGAACCCTGGTATAGGCGTAATACAAAAACAGTAAGTGTTCACGCGAGCACTTAATAATGCGCTAGCCCAATTACATACGTGTCAATTCTCTAAAGAACCGAAACGCGTTGATACTAGAGGAACGAGGATTAAACTTAAAGCAAAAAAGTAATAAATAAAATATTGAGTTTTCAAGATTGACAGGAGCAGAGTAGTAATTCCTATGGTTTATCCTGAAAGCTGAAAGAAGCGAGGACAGGCTAAGAAAACGAGATCAACGCCGCCCATCCTCGTCCCATCCCGTCCCGCCCATCCTCGTCCCAAGGGCTTTCTTGTCTTTCAAGATGAGGGCGCTAAACGAGAGACTGCAGAAAAACGCTGACGCAATACTCTAAGAATAAAAAAATATACTTTCACGTAGCCTGCGAAAACAGACGTTTCACGTCCCCCAGCGGCGATGAACGAGGAGAACTGTCTGTTTTCGCATGCTAACTTTCACGTTACATGTAGCGGAACCAGCACCTTTTCGTAGGTTTATAGAATGGAAATGTAAAACGATTGGCCCTTTGAAATGGTTCACCCATTAAAGATGAGATACCAGCAAACATTTAATCTTAAGACTTGTTAAGGTAATGACAAATACGTTTATCGTACTGGTAAATAGTAGACTATTATAGCTATAAAATTCATATATAATTATCATGAATTTAGTCAATTTTTAGGATCCCAATTTCATTATAGATTTACCTTAAATTAAAAAATCAGTGTTACATATTTTATCCATGAATGTACACAAAAATTGCGCTGAACTAAATATTTCGTTATTCTACATTATAAAATACCGCCATTATTTTTAATGTAACGAAGGCATCAAGGATGAAATTTGTCCATGTCCCTAGTTTTTTTGAGGTTGTCGAGAAACCGAACACAAGGGAGGACTTGACACTGAGAGCTTGAATTGATACCTGTAGTGACTGATTGATCAGAAGTATGTATCAGCAATAGGTATATCATCATAAACGGGCTCCTTTGCACTTGGAACTTTATCTTTATCTTTTGCAATGTGAACATCGACAGACTCCGTTTTAATTCCTTGGTTGGAAAATGCATCCATGACAGAACTAACAGTGGCAGCTTGTGCGTCACCATCATTAAGATTCATAGATTCTGAATGATAGGCTTTATTGAAAAAACCTTTGCCTTTACCCTTGTTAGGTTGGTCCACTGCGACTGCTTCCTCCGTTGTTTGCGAAAAGACTTCGCCATCGCTCTCGTCAATGGAATCATTTTTGAAGATCTTGTTGTAAAAACCGCTTTTGTCGTTGGAAGTTTTTGATTCGTCTGATACATGAGATCCAATTTCCGCGTCATCGAGTTCTATGGAGAGGTCTCGAAAAGATTTATTGGAAAAACCAGATCTTCGTTCGCGCCTGCGTTCTTCACTAGGTTTCGGCTCTGGCTCCGGCTCTTGCGGTTTTGGTGCGCTGGTGTAATCATTTGTCACCTGCATCTCCGTGGAGACAATGTCTTGCTTCTTTTCATTATTGTTTGCTGTTTCATCATTAAAAGTGTTGTACAGTAAATTCCTGGACTTTCTGCGTTGTTCAGCATGAGGATGGTCCAGACCTATGGTAGATTTTCGTCGTTTTTGGCTGAGTATTTTCGGCTCCTTTCGTCTGATAATAAGATGGACAAATAACAGAGCAGACAGCACTGCTACAGCCAAAACAGGCATCAAAACAGAAATATTGACACACCCTTTTCCTCCTGAAATGCATAACAAAAAGTTATTAACAGTATGAAATTAAACATTCACATCCAGAAGTAGCCAAAGTTTATCCCAAATTTCATTTAAAACTGAAATATTGACAAGCAAATGGTATCGTGAAAATACCGTTGA